TGGACAAGGCCGACATGGAGTTTAAGATGAAAACACTAGCCGTGCACCAATCGCATTTTGACTATTCAGGTATGTTTCATTTAAATTGACACACTTAAGACTATCTTAAGGCTCAACCTACGTTAAAATGACAAAGACAGACGTCCGCATAAAGTTTTAATGTGTGATTATATGTAACAAATTCATTCAACCTTTTTTTGTAACATTGATGAAAATCATTGTTGTTCGTTTTACTACCCGCACAAGTAACTTGGTGTACAACATTACTTCTTCGGTTCAGGTTGCAATTTTTGCTGGGTAAATTAGACGGCTTTTCTATTTTCTGAAACAAGTAGCTGTAACAAAATTTGTTTCGCAACAAGTGAAGCGCGCAGGTGGAAAAACAAGAGATAGGTGTTCATATCATGTATGTGTCCGTGTGTATTTCTAACTTGCACTCTATCATAGACGTTTTGAGTCATTTTAAACTACGCAAACACAACTGCTTCAATTTGAAGTTCAGTATACATGTCTTATTCATCTGAAGTGACGTGCACATGCATACGTAATCATTGTTCTTTCAGGAATTATCAGTATGACACCCATACAATTTGATTGTTCGAGTCAGTCTAGCGATGACTTTGTCCCTTCTCCACCCCTCTCAGGAACAGGTCGCCTGACATCTGTTGACGAGGGCGTGGTACTGGAGAGCTCGAGTGACAGCACCAACAGCCGCGAGAAGCTAACCTCACACCTGGAAAACGCAACGGAGGAGCTGGAAGCGGAAAACAAGCGGTTGTACGAAAGGAATGAAGAGTTACGAAAACGACATCTACAAGCCGAGGAAGAACAGAGTGAACTAACACTCAAAGTACTTGAACTCGAAAGAAATCTTGAAAGAAACGAGAGGAAACTACACAGCTATAGGCAGTTAGAAACAACCGACGTGATCGATTTGCAAGACAAAGTGGAAGAGAAAGAATTTGAAACATGCGAGTTGCTAGCGCGCGTGGAAGAACTCGAGGATGAGCTTCAGGCGAAAGTTCAAGCCACCAGTTTACTTAAAGAAAACGAGCGGCAGCTAAGAGGGCAGCTGTCTGAAGAAAGGAAACATTTTGAAGATCTTGAAGAACGAAACGCGAAATTGAAATTGAAATTTAAACATCTCGAGGATAGATTTGAGGAAAATGAGCTGAAACTTGCTTCATACACAAAGTCAGAATCACTCGATAGTAACAAAGTTATGAAGCAGTTGGAGAGTTTAATTGCAGAGAACAAAACACTTAACTTAAGAATATTTCAGCTTCAAGGGGAACAAACAGAAAAGAGTGACATTTCATCCGCAATACAAAATGAAAAAAGGGACTTAAAATTCACCGAAGATCAAAAGAAGAACTTAGAGAGAAAAATCATTGATCTTGAAGTGAAGCTGAAAGAGCAACAAGTAAAAATTCTAAGTGTTAAAGAATATGAACGTAGACTTCGTGCCGAGTTGTGCAAAGAGATGACGAAGAAGTTAACTAAGGCTCAAACTCGAAGTCGCGAACTTGGTGAAAAAATCCTTGCGTTAGAGGCTAAGCTACGGGATGCAGAGCAGCAATATAACACTGTACAAGGCTTGGACCTGAATACGAGGAGTGCTATGCTTGATGATATAAGAGCGCTGAAAGACAAGCTACAGTATTCTGAGTCTCGAAATAAGGAGCTCAATCTCAGCGTTCAGGATGCTGAAGAACGCCTTCGTCTTTCACAGAGAGAAGTGCTTTTAGTGAAACAATCTGAAATTGACTTGCGAGAGAAGGTTCAGTTGTTAGAGTCGGAAAACTGTAGGATTCAAGACAAATTACGGACGTCGAAAGAGGAGAGATCAACCCGCCCTCCCACAGGTAGGACTGCAGATAGACTTGAAAAACTACGAAAGGAAAATGCAAACCTTTCCTTAGAACTGAAATCTTTCAGGGAGAACATTTTAAAACTAGAAAGTGATTTGCTAAGAAAGGACCAGGAAATTCTTACCCTAAGAAATGAATCGGTGGACTTGTCAAGTGAGGTGTGCAAATTGAGAAACGAACTGGATGAAAGCGTGAAAAATAAAACTGATGAATTAAAGAAATCCTCGGAGGCACAAGCGAAACTTGCTTCGAGACTTGCTTTATTGGAAAGGGAATTGACAGAACTGCGCAGGAGCAAAACGCAAGAGAGCGATCGAGTGGTTGAGGTGGTTGATGGTAGAAGTGATTCCACAGGATCAACGTTGTTAATTAGCGATGTGAATTTCGAACTTGCAGTTAACTCTGAAAGCTCGGAATCTTTTCTAGAAAAACCGGAAAACTCTGAGTTTGTTGGCGACTCACAGATGGACAGGAAGCAACTTTTGAAAGAACAGAAACAGTTACAGATCGTTATTGGCGAGCTTCAAAATGAAAAATCTAGAATGGCGGACAGGAATGAGAAGCTCCTCCAAGACCTGAAAACTCTGGAAGCCAATTTGTCAATTATAGAGAGTGCATTTCGTTTATGTCGTTCAGAAAATGAATGTCTGCAGCAAGAGGTTAATATAAAGTCGGCTGAAGCTAACACCGTTAGAACGTATGCTTCTTTTTGCAGCGAGAAAGCAAATGAACTTCGGTCGGAGATGGCCGCTCACAGGGAAAACGAAGCCTGTCTGGAGAAGAGATTATCCGACTTAGAGAAGGAATCGGCTCAAGTACGAAATGAGATGGGACATGGGATGTTGGAGATGTCAGAGCTTAAAGAAAGGAAAGAGTCGCTAGAAAAGAAAATTGTGGATGCGAGCCGTGTTGTTGACCATTTAAAGCAAGAAATTGTCGGTCTTGTCAATGGCATGTTAACATTGCAGAGAGAGCTTATTGTCCACATTGATAAGATGTTAGATTGTCTTGGATTAGACGAAAAAAGTGTTCAACGTTTTAGAGTCAGACAGCTATCTGCGGACTCAAATGATATCTCCACACAAACTGAGGAATCAGGCAGCGAAGTAAGCAGCGAACTAAGCGAGGTATTTTTGAGTAGCTCGCCATTTCCCTTCCGCCTTCTGCCAGACAAAGAAGGCTTTTTAAACCCTTCTGATGTAAGTGTCATACGAGAGAACAAAACCGAGATTCTTCGCCTACAGGATGAGCTGAAAGCTAAAGTTCTTGCAATTAAAGACTTCCTGAATTCTAATAAAGGCAGTGTGGCAAAAGTTGATGACGAACGTGGTGGTGAGGTTCATGCTAAAGCAGCTCTTGGAATTTTGGCATTCGGTCCCAAAAATACGTCTGGGTTACCCCGACTAAGCAAA